TGCCTGCCTCCCTTTGTACCAGGGTACGTTTGAGCGAGGGAGGGAGGCAGGTTTTGTTTATGGGACAACACAGAGTTGCCATCAAGGCTTTAATCAAGACTATTTCCTGGAGTCGGCCTTGAGTGACAGCACTCTTATCCAGCTTGGTTCCCTCTCCGAAGGAGCAACAGTGGGAGGGGAGAGAGGAGCGGGGAACTGTGGGAATGTCTCTACATCGTCGCCGCGGCGGGCAGCTCCTCCACATGGCTTCAAATTAGAGGAAAAGAAAACAYGGGCTAAAAAAGGGCTGCCGCCTGACTATATTCCTGCCTGCTAATTGGTTGCCACTTGAAAAACGAGGGGAAAATAGCAACAGTTTAAATCACGCTGCTTTAAAGTTAGGCGGATGCCAGCCAGCGTGCATGGCACATTACTTAAACCCGGGGGGAGATTTGGGTCAGCTCTGTCAAACTTACACATACATTTAAACCATTGTGGCTGGAATCTGTGGAGGTCTGGCTGCATTCTTATTAGAGGGAGGCAGAAACGGAGAACCCTGAGTGTCTGGCTTGCCCAGATCGGACCAGTGACAGCTGGGGCTTGAAAGCCTCACATCCAAAGCCAGGGCTCATAGCCACTTGCTACATAGTTACACTGAGCTATTCCCACCCCCTTCTTTCCAAGACCTCACCCTGAAAGATCCTGAACAAAACCTCAGCTTTGGCCASATAACTCCCCATCAAACCGCCTTTGCTTTAATCCAAAAGCAAAACAGGGAATAAGTTTTATCTGTTGACATATCCAAAAACAGAACCAAGTCACAGAGAGAAGACCGAGTCCACAAGGAGCTGTCTCAGTGTGTGACTGCGTGTGAGCGTGGAGGGGTACCTTTTCAGCCAGCGGGAGGCAGGGTGCCACCCTGTGCTCCAGTTTGACGATGGTGATGAAGGTGCTGTCCTGCCGCTCATCCTCGCTCGTGTTGCACAAAGACAGAGGGTGATACTGCAAAAACACAATAAAAGAAATAACAAATTAACAAAACCCTGTTTTAATCAATTATGACCACTACAATATCAAAAAATAGCCAGAATGTGGATAGTCTTTGAAGGGTCTTGGCCGGGTCTTCAGGTGGGTATTACCTCCAATTTACACTACATGTGGTCCGGCTCCGCTCTGGTCTGATTCTAATCAATAAGAGTATTTACACTGGCTCCACAGGGCAGCGGTGAGCGGACGGTGATCCGGCAAAATTAGATCCGATTCTATTTTTGCCAGAGCTGCGCCGGAGTCAATCTACAAAGATCATGTCGCACAAACAGGAAAAGGAACACGCACAACATATGTATTTTCAAAATAAGACACCGTAAGGCGGAATAATTTGTCAGAATAATGTCGAGATTCCAGCTATATTGTTATATATGGATATATTTCTACACAAATGCTGTCAGAATGTTTCGTTTTGTTTGGGAAGCAGATGGTAACATGTAGCATGAAGCATATGTGTACACAAATGATACACATGGATTTTATTTTGAAATTAGAAGTTTCAAAAAGATGACAGCRATACAGTTTCAACYATAAATATCAAAAGCTTTTATATTAATGTTTTCAGCTGTGTTTGGAGTTAATCTTTCACAGAACTCATTATTTTTTGCTCTGACTTCCACATTTATCACTGGATYTGTCGTGCGATCTCCTTCCTGCACACGCTCCCTTCTCTGTGTGTCRCAGYGCAGCGCAGCGGAGCAGAGCCGCATGTAGTGTAAATYCGGGGTGAGTAATTTATGAGATCCGAATTACACAAGATAGAGCATGATAAGTCGTGGAGATTTTTAGGAATGCACAAAACTTAATTAAACCATTAAAACTGAGCTAAGAAACTAAAAAGTGAACTCTTCTTTTCCCTTGGCAAACGGACAATACAACAGGCAACTTTAATGATTTTTAAAAATAAGAATACGGCACACTAATTAGAATTTATTATGAGTTTCTGTAATCCACACAGGGTCAGAAACTTGTCAAAAACAGAAAATCTTGTCTCAAATACACAGATTTACCTAAATATTTTTAATAAGTGGTTCTGAAGGTTGTGGGAGTTCTTTAACTTGTTTCATTAATGGTGCTATAACTGAATGAAGCTGGTAGTTTCTCTTTGCCTGCATAAAAAGGATTTGTTTGACCGAACTTATTGGACCGTTCTTTCCTCAGATCTCTGTGAAGATGTAAGTTTGGGAGGCAATTTGTTGGTTTGTTCAAGTCTCAATCCTGCTATGAACTGGAAACTGCTGGAACACCAGTGTCAGCGTTCACACTGATGTGAGTTTTACATCCCTGTGAGCCGAGGAGGTGCCAACCAGGAAGGAACACCACAAGAACAATGTACAAAGGTGGCAGCATCATGATACTGGTGCATTGCACAAAAAGGATGGTATAAATAAGGAGGATTCCAAATTATTCAATTTCACCTTAAATCATAGCTAAACAGTTAAAACTTAAGACAAAAACCAAACTAATATTTAGCTTTCCAAAGCCATGACCTCAACCCTGCTGAAAATTTGTGGACTGCGCTTAAAAGCCGAGTCCATGTGAAGAAACCAACCAGTTTAAATGTTTTCTACCAATTTTGCCATAAAACGTGGTCAAATATCCAGATAGATTATTTGCCTGACCTCATCTGTAGAGTTCATTATGATTATAAAGATAACAAAGATCTAGCCACAGACAAGAACCAGAAAATAAAAAGAGTTTTAAGACACGTTTTTATAAGACAGTCTAGACTGAACTGGAAACGCTGTTTTCACCCTATCAGAGAACAAAAGTCGGAGGCATTCATGTGTGAAACTAAGCCTCGTTCTTTCTGATTTCAAGAGGAACAACTCTGGTGACCTATGAAATCAATTACATGGAAGGTAATGTTCACTCCCACTCAAAGCCTTCAGGACTGAAAGAATGAGGGAGGAACATTTGATCCCCTCTGAAAGGGAGGACGCTCACAACTGCTGAAAGGCTGCATTTAACAGCTCAAAGGATCGCAGCGGTGTTTGCGAGTCGCAGACATGCTGTCACGARTACGAGGAGCTGCAGGGTGGGCATGGAGGTAAAATGCTCCTGAACCCCCTCATCACACAGCAGATCCAATCCAATACATGAATGCTTCACACAAAAAAGTGTCTTCTAATCAGTCTTAATTAGGGTTCAGACGTCACCCTGTGCTCCCCCACAGGGAGTGGTTCCACCCATTCTCCAATTGTCTTGTTATGGACCCTGGTCCAGGCCCTAGTTCTGCACCAAAAGTCCTCTTCATGTGGCTGTGGGCCTCCCCCTCAACTGGCCTAGCGGAAATCCCTAAATTAAAAAGACCCAAGGGTGACATCAACAGCTGGCATCCCTGGGCAGGAGAACTGACGTAATGCGCAGCAAAGGGCTGGTGGATGTCTGTCAGACGGAGCGAGGRAGAGGAGACCAGAAAGAAAGCAGACTTAGAGGAAAAAACAAGGCAGAGGATTGAAAAATAAAGAAAAATAACAGYAGCACCTGGCTGTAACTTACTAACATAACTGCAGTGACGCTGTGTAATATATCATCGTTTTYATTTGACAAAGCTGTTTTTCACGTTCTGCTATGTTTAATGATTGTTTTTGTTATTTTTGTGCACAAATAGCTTTAGAACACAAATTTTCATCAAGTGCAGTTTGTTGAAAACTTGTTAAACCAAAAGTTGAAAGTAAGAGACAGGTGACGTGCTGGTAAACACAAGTCACAGTTTCAAACGACGCGTGGTCAGATGTGGTCAAAAGGGTTTGGTACAAAATRAACATGTCCAAATTGTTAGTTTGTGTTTTTCTTACCAGCTTATTTTGTATGGACAAAACCTCTTTAAAAAGAAGAAACCAGCAGCCCCCAGGTCATCATAGGAAAATCATATTGTACCTCGTTCTATCCAGTCTGAACTGTTTCCTGTTTTCTTTAAATCTGTTTTTATTTTGAAAATAGTGCAAAATCAAGTATTTTATTTGGTTTATTTGGCCTAAATGTCATACCTAACTTCACAGCTACTTGCGTGCTAATAATAATAATAATAATAATAATAATAATAATAATAATAATAATAATACACGAGTGGTGAGCATCTGATAATGTATTCCCCAGTACTTGTGCCAACAAAGTGCCTGTGACATCAACTTTTTATAATAAATATGAATGTATTTTTGGAAAGATAACATTGTTAACATATTGTAAAAAAAAGATTTCATGCCGCTGAGATGAACAGTTCTTGAGATATTTGTATGTGAAGAAACAGGAAGTGAAGTCAAGGGGGAATGTCTGAATTTAAACTGAGAATCGCTAAAATGGCCAACAACACAAAATGTAGAGAAGAATCTGATGTTTCTTCAGAATATTTTAATCACTACCATAGAGAGATGAGAAAGAGTTATAGTTCAAATAATATTGTTGCAATTAAAAAAAACCAGAGTTTTCTTCCTTAAAGAGTTCCCCTTTGATGTCACTTCCTGTTTCACTATAACTGAGCAAAATGAAAAAGAAAATATGCCAATTATGTGACATAACGGGTCAAATCATGTGTATTATGCAAAGTTTCTTAAATATAAACATATTTTCTTTGACTTTCCGTATTTCATGGACATGCATGTCACAGACACTGTATTGTGTTTAAATTTGGACCCTTTTGGCCTTCCATACATCCACCACTTGTTCTTCACCGTTACCACAGATCACTGGGAATGAAAAGCTTTTCCACAACTGATTCCAAACAAACAGGTCGAGCTCCTGTGTTTCATTTCAAGGAGCTATTCTTGCTTTTCTTTGGTATGGAGTGCTTTAGACAAAATATTCACTTTCTCTGTTTCTGATGTGGAGGGTTGGAAAAGCAACCAAAAGCAAAACCAAGCACACACAGAAACACTCTTTTAGATKAGAATGACTGCACCGAACCTTGGCGTTTGTATCATGATAGTTTGGTATGAATATGTGTATCGTTACACTCCTTTAAATAAAGGTAAGATGAATGACTTTACTCCATGGGTTAAATAATTCTGTCTYGATGTAAGAGATATGATGAAAGATAAAATAATTGACATGAAACTACCTTGAATCGTGTATCTCAGACCTGTGCACAGAGCAGTAACTACACTGGAAGGAAGTGGAGCTAGAGAGCAGTTGGAACAACTGGCTTGTCCTGCATGCTGAGCTGCCAGCTGTCTCCACCAATCTGCATTTACTAGGCTCAAATTAGAGGCCTACAGCTGACTTTGGCGTATAAAAAAGAAGAATAAAAAAACAAATTTTAATGGTATTACTTTTGTGAAACCCCATTTTATGAGGCAGATTTGTGGGAAAATGAGCAACATTCAAGGTAACGGTCCAGAAAGGTTACTTTGAATCTTTCAGGCTGACTTGATCTTGTTTGGATATTGAACAAGCTGATGCATAGGGGCCACTGTGGAATCACACCAAAATAAAGGAGATAATAACCCCAAAGCTGAGCCAAGCAGGCTCAGAAGGAGTGCCTGTCGTTACTTTCTTCTGGCTTTCTGAGGCTCTGAGGCCAACCAACTATGTTTTGCATCAGCAACTAGACCAAGCATTATCTTCTATTTTGGATGTGCCCACACCACTTACAGTCTGAGGGCTGTGAACACTCCATGTGCCACCATTGGTGCCGTCTACCACTAAGAAGCACGCTGCTGCCGGACTATTAACAGCAACCGGGACCGTCTGAAACGTCTTCATATGGTTTTTGTGTGGCCCTGAGAAAAAAAAGGAGCCTGGGAAACCAAATCACTGTCTCCATTTCACAGGGAAGAAAACCACAGGCAACGCAAACCCGTTCCCCATAGACCGTTAACAATGCTAACTCCTCTGTTCCGCCTCTTCCTCCGCATCTGCCTAGATCTGTTGCAAAACTCACGGGGATGTTCCTTTGTAGCTTCGATTAAAGGCATTCCTATCAAGTTCAATCACAGACTCCTCCAAAAATATTG